CTTCTTCCTCATCTACTCCGTCTTCGTCTTCTTCTTCGTCTGCTTGTATGTGAAAGCATCCGTCAGGCTGGACATGGGCATTCGTTTCTGGTGCCTGTTCAGGTTCAATTCGAGGATCATTCTGGCCATTCTTGGACGCCAAACTGCTCGCCTCTTGTCAAACTTAAGTTCTGTCTTATTCGAGAATAATGATTTAGAAATTAAGCTCCGATGTCCAAAATGACCGGGCATAGAAAGAGCAAAATGTGAATTCGGTACAAAGCGATTTCGTTATTATCAGTAACGCTTTAATAATAATTTAATGTGCGTTGGTCGCTTACATGCAGTGGCAATTTGACAAAGTTAATCACAACTCGATATCAAATATGCAGAGAAGCTGAGCTTGAAAAAATCCCCTGGCCGATGTACACGTGGCTAATTTTCATTTCGGTTGAGAAGGTGTGTGCAAGCGATTCGTAGAGTGGCCTCACCTCAAACCGAAAGAGTGTTGGCTGAATTTTGCGAAGAAGACCTCGGTCTACTGTCATACCACCCCGATGACTGGCAGAGTGTTGCATGCAAATACTAACACACACATACACGAAGCGCTAACAAGAGCCAGGACAACTGGATTATACTCAAGTTAATTTTCATGTGCAAAGTTGTGACCACATCCGTCGGCCTTCGTGCATCACTTTCACTCGCTTAAATGCATACAGGACAAGCATACAACAACCAGCCAAATCATACAGTGCCTCATGAAGATCGCAATCGCTCAATCGGGCTGACGAGCAATGCTGTCCCAAAGACTATTCTTCTTATCTTCTCGATAATCTCAACTATCGGCCAGTCATTAACGCAACTCAAGTCATATGAGATGTATTCACCCAATTTTGTTTGAGTTGATGAAGGACTGGTAGAAGAAAGATTTTCCCACAATGACATGAGTTGAACTGACGTTTCCATTCAATTTCACATAGTCTTGCTTTCCCAAAAGTTGTTTTCCTTCAGGTGGGATTGTCGATGAAGCAAACGTATATTTGCTATAACAATCGACTGCTTTACTTTATTTTTCGAATTAAGTATTGTTTTCGTGACTATCAGTAAATCAGTAGTATGACATGTATTCACCCTATTTCGTGTATGGTGATGAAGGACTGGTAGAAGAAGAATTGTCCCACTGACGTTTCCATTCGATTTCACATTGCCTTGCTTTCCCAAATGTTGTTCTCATCCCGGCTGGGGTGGACTGCAGTTTCGACCTCGCATCAACTGGTCTTGTCAACACCCTCAGCGGCAGTCGTGGCAATGTAGCTTTTATCCTGAACTATCGCGGTTCGACTCCCGCTGAGGGTGTTGTCAAGACCAGTTGAAGCGAAGTCGAAACTGCAATTCACCCCAGCTGGGATGAGAACAAATTTTGGGAAAGCAAGACAATGTGAAACTGAATGGGAACGTCATCTCTACTCACATCTTTGTGGGAAAATTCTTGTTCTCCCAGTCCTTCATCACCTTGAATGAAATTCGGTGAATACATCTCATGTTATTTTTGTCTTTGAGTAGAGTTTCGAGACTACCATTAAATCAGTAGTATGAGATGTATTCACCAAATTTCGTTTAAGGTGATGAAGGACTGGAAACGTCAGTTAAACTCATATGATTTTGGGAAAATTCTTCTTCTACCAATCCTTCATCACTTTAAACGAAATTGGGTGAATACATGTCATACTACTCATTTACTGCTACTCACGAAAACAATATCTGATTCGAAAAATCAACAAATGTCATTATTGAAAGACCTTTTCTCATGTTTTGTCTTTACCCTCGTGCGTTATCTCTAAAAGGAGAGATGAGCAAGTAAGTAAGTGGGGAATAAAAACTGTGTTCAGAGAAACTATGACACTTTCTTCAGTCATGCCCACTTTTAGAGGGAAAGTTGACCCATTCTCCAGATCGGGTTGCTACAAAATAATGTGTTCATGTGGTCGCTTTTATGTTGGA